ATTCAGATTTATTTGCAAGTACACACCAATTCAGGTTTATATGCAAGTACACACCAATTCAGGTTTATATGCAAGTACACACCAATTCAGGTTTATATGCAAGTACACACCAATTCAGGTTTATATGCAAATACACACCAATTCAGGTTTAGATTATACGTATAAATGTTCATATTTAGAATTTTTAAAAAATATAAAAACAGTAAAGATGACCACATTCAAGACACAATTGTCTGCACACATGTAAATATGTATTTCGATTCCATGTACAGCCTTGACTACTTTACAGACCCTCAATCTACAAACGTTTGTTTTTTAATTCTTGACGTTCTGTAGTCTAATAATAGTTTATTTTGTCTAAAATTAAAAATTCTTCAGTTGCTACATAACTAACCATTCATAATTAAGGCAGTCTTTATCCAGAAGTTATAAGTTGAGTTGACTACTAATCAACTTTATTCATTTGTTTCCAAAACTTTGTTGATAAAGTTAATAAACTTTGTCATTTCACAGTTGGAAAATGGATTTTCCAAATTCAACATTTCACAGGTGATCATACCTAAGGTTTTTTTTTACATGAAAATTATCATGAATTTTTGCTGTACCCCAACAGTTCAGGGAGGCAACAACCCGGTCCCTGGTATCAAAAAGGTTGATAAAAGCTCACTTAGATCAAGCTAAACATTCACTAAGATTTTTTTATAGTAGTTTTAGTATCCATTTTTTATTATACAAATAAATGATCGTGTCATACTAAATAGCACTATATACATAAAACGTAACCAGGACTTGTTTTCTCTAGGCTGATATCACAAGTTTATCATTGGTTCATCGTTCTAGGTTTCCTGTCTAGATGATGTCTGTGGAATGATACCATTTTATAACCCAGAAGTACCGGATCAGTTTTATCGCCTTTGGACGTCTCTCTTTCTTCATGCGGGGTAAGATGTATGAACATCCAACTGAAGTATTTATTAACATAAAAAAGATTATGTAGGAAGAAAATTCTGAAATATTCTTCCAGATCATTAGTAAGGATTTAAAATAGACCTGTAATTATTATTTTTTTATTGTATTGTGCACATTTACTGATTATCTCTTCTTGAACCACAGAACTGTGGTTATCACACTTGGTAGTCTGGTCAAGATCTGAACGTGTGATGTAAAATTAATAGCACGTCAGATTGGTTGATACGAGAAACCAATTATTCGTGTATAAAATGAAACGTATTTTTGAGGTACGGATAACGTATTGTCTGACAAAATGTTTTACGTTTAGAAAGATTGTTTTACTTTAGTACCATTGTTAGTCATTTTTTACTGTGGGCCTTGTCAACAAATAGATCTTTAAAGTTTTAGGGATTTCTTCAGATGTGTTTTTAAAAATGTTTGTTATATAAATATTTTGATCATTTAACTTTTGTCATGTTTGAAACAGAGATTTTCTTTACAGCTCTTCGGGTACACTGTAACTGTATATACTTGGTTTCGTATTTGTTGCTACTTCGTACTAGTACTACCTGAATAATTTTGTTGAATTAGATGTGAGAAAAAAAGTGATGATACTTTTTGAATCTTAATCTTGAGTGTTGTCTAAATATCAAGATACTGAAATAAAGAGATGCAAACATTTTGGAATGACACTTGAAGGTTTAGGATTTAATTTTTTCTTTTTATGAAACAACATTCATTTCGAGTAGCAGAATGTGGATAACTATTGTTAGATGAAGTTTATTAAGTTTTAAACTGTGTTTTTGTACAGTTTGTTAGTTAAGAAAACAAGCACTAAGACTGTACTAGTTTAACTGGTGTTTTTTTCTCTCTGTTTAAGGATAATACATCTTCTCGTTACGGTGATCATTCAGTACTATTTCATGCGAGAGAAGAATTAAAAGAACTACTAACCTCAGCTCTGTATGGAACAAATATTGCACTTCCTAGGTTCCCTGCAATCCCTGACATGATGTAGATGATCCCAATCCTTAAAGGACCTGTTAGTTTTTCTAGAAGAAGAATTAAAAGAACTACTAACCTCAGCTCTGTATGGAACAAATATTGCACTTCCTAGGTTCCCTGCAATCCCTGACATGATGTAGATGATCCCAATCCTTAAAGGACCTGTTAGTTTTTCTAGAACGTAAAACATACACACATATATATGTATATAAATTTTTACTAGGGTCACAAGTGACTTAGAGTGTAAAGTATCTTCTATCAGACAATTCTGAAGTTTGAAAATGGGCCATCCAAATGAATTTTACTTAAAAATCAAATGTTGCAAAATAACTGAAGACAATAGGAACATTAGATACATGAAATATCAACTAAACATCACATTATACTAGTTGCTATTTATTGTACTTCAGGCCTTCCAATGACACACGAAATAAATAAAGATGGCTAACAGTAAATATCAACTAAACATCACATTATACTAGTTGCTATTTATTGTACTTCAGGCCTTCCAATGACACACGAAATAAATAAAGATGGCTAACAGTAAATATCAGGGGGTACTTAGACATGACATTTTGTGTTACAAGTAACTTCATATACATGGTTTATAGTTGGCTGTTGTTAATCAGGAAAATATAGTACCCAATTAATCCTAAGGTATAACTTTATTTTTTATTTCTGGGTTTACAAATCAGACATTAATTGTATCTTCTGTTAAGATTATAATATCAAAAGGTTTTTTTTATTTACTGCTTATCCTTACCAGAAAGATCCGAACAGTCATTTGTTGCAGAAGCTGTAAAGTTTAAAGTCTAATAATCGTGACTTTACGAGTACAGAATTGGGCTGATCAGAGATTACGTTGACTTACTTACTCGAACCTGTAAGTCACTTGTATGACCCTAGTAAAAATTTATATACATATATATGTGTGTGTGTGTGTTTTACACTCTAAGTCACTTGTATGACCCTAGTAAAAATTTATATACATATATATGTGTGTATGTTTTATGCTGTAAGTCACTTGTGACCCTAGTAAAAATTTATATACATATATATGTGTGTGTTTTACCCTGTAAGTCACTTGTGACCCTAGTAAAAATTTATATACATATATATGTGTGTGTTTTACCCTGTAAGTCACTTGTGACCCTAGTAAAAA